CTGCCCCCATGGAGAACAAACCCATCTCATCCCAACAACATTTACCTTATCGCCCTCAGCCACCTGGCAGATGACTTCTCCCGTGGCTGGGTTGATGGAGGGGAAGGTTTTCTTGCTGACTGCATCGTGCCATTCGTTATTTATGAAAATCTGCAAGGAAAAAGCCAAGCAGGGCTGAGCCTTCGAGCCAGATCCCAGGGAAATCAGGAGGAGCCTTGGTTCTTTGATGGCATCTGAGAAGCCTGGTTAATTAAAAGGGCTTAACTTGACTTGTGTGGGCTCCAAACCTGCAGCGATATGAAGGAGATACTTTAGCCTAAAAGCACGCAACATAGCCCCAAGTAAATAAAAGAATTCACAGCTCAGCAAACAGCACGTGAATTGGAAGATGTTTCCATCTTGGTAGGTCCTGGCTGGAGCAGGGACATGGAAAACTCAGGAGACTGAAGAGTGGGAAAATGCTTTAGGCACAGACAGTACAGTGAGTTGATTTTGTCCAGATCACCAGAGCTTTTACAGCATTTCTTACAGTCTTATGAATCTTAAGGGTCTTTTCCAAGCTAAATGATTCCATCATTTCCCAGATTAACCAATTTTAGGCTCCCTGTGTACCAGAACCAGGTGCTAACAGCAGCTTTTTACCAACTCGTTCTTTCTAAGGGTATTTTTTTTTTCAGGTTCATGGCAAGGGAATGGGAGTGCAAAGATCGTGGTGCCAAGAACTTGCAGAACGCTCAGACAACCTCCCAAAGCCCGGCCACGGCCACCGGGGAAGGAGCGCCCGGGTGCCTTGGAACGCCGCCCTGCAGCAGCACCTCGCACAGGTGATCCCACGGGATTTTCCTGGAGCAAGGCTCTGATTTCTGGAGAAATCCAGCCAAGCACCTCGCCCTCCCTTCCCGTGCCTTTAACCAGAGTTTCTTCCTCGGGTTGTTCGCACCCGTGCGGGGTTGCTGAACGGGGGAAGGGGACAGAGCCGGGTGGCGATGGGACACACGCCCTGTGCCCTCTGCACCCAGGGCCGCTTTTTCCAAGGCTTCGGGCCCAAATCCGCGGCTGCTCCGGGCGGGCCCAGCCCCGCACGGGCGGACACGGCTCCCCGAACCCCCCGGGCTCCCAGCACGGCCATACCTTGTTAAAGGCGATGTCGGGGCGCGGGTTGGGCGCCGGGATGGGGGAGGCGGCGGCGGCCGAGAAGGGAGCCCGGAGCAGGGCCGGGCAGAGCCGGGAGCCGCGCAGCACCGCCCGCAGCATG